CAGCCTCCTGAGTAGCTGGGACTACAGGCATGCGCCACCATGCCCGGCTAATTTTTTCTATATATTTTTAGTTGTACGATTAATTTCTTTTCTATTGTTTTTTAGTAGAGATGGGGTCTCGCTCTTGCTCAGCCTGATTTCGAACTCGTGAGCTCAAACAATCCACCCGCCTCGCCTCCCAGAGTGCTAGGATTACAGGCTCTTTACCCTTCTTCTTGTCATCCTGGCTACTGTGGCATGCCCGGGGCTGTGCTGGATACTTTTAAGATCATTATATCATTTAATCCTGATGACAACAACCAGATTGATAGTGGTGAGGCTCAGAAAAGGCAAGAGGCCTGTCTGGAGTCACGTAGCATGTTCTCTGCAGAGCTAGAACACCAGTGAGGCTCCAGTGCTCTTTCTACTAGCTTGTAGTCCCCACAAAGAGCAGAGGGTGGTGTAGCAGACAGGCCTTGGAACTTAAGGGTCCTGGATGCAAATTGTTGCTCTATCCCTGGCTAGCTGTGGACATTGGGCAAGTCATTTCCTCTCCTGAGCCTCAATTTCCCTGCCTGTAAAATGGGGATGCATAAGAAGCCCTTGCTCACAGTGATATTGGGAAGATTGAATGAGTCAGTATAGATGCAAATGTGTTATAAGCTGTAGGGTGCTGTGTGCTTTCAGTTGACTTAGCTGAACAGCCTTGCTCGGCTGGAGTGATAGGTCAAGAATCTCTTTTCTTGCAGAACCCTTTGATGGGAGTCAAAAAGCACCACTGCCCTTTGGCTGTTTTGCTCATTTCCCACGTCTGAGAAAGGTCTTTCATTTTCTCTCCCTCATCATAGCTGTCCAGCCCTGACCAGAAAACCCTTCGGATCTGGTGTATCTCCAGGAGCCTCCAGGGGCTCTCACTGTTTTTCTTGTTGTATTTTCTTCTTTTCAGCTGTCAGAGCTGGCAGGTCTCAAGTTAACAGTGCATCAGGACCATGTGAGAAAATAGTAGAAACGAAGAGCCGAAAGGAAAAGCATGTGTCTCCAGCCCCTGCTCTGATTCTGTAGCTCTGGCTTGGCATGTGGCAGGCTGTGTTTTTAAAAAGCTCCTCTGGTGATTCTGAGTCAGTATGAGGACTGGAGGACATGGCAGATGCCTTAGGGTTGGCAAAGCCCTTCCACACATGTTCTCAGTTTTAAACCTCCGAGCAAGCTGAAGTAGATGATTGTCACCTCCATCTTACAGGTGTGGAAACAAACACAGAAGTGACTCATCCAGGGTCACACAGCTGGAACTTAAAACTGGCTCACTGATGTAACTCCAGCCGTTCCTCTGCAGGGCAGAATTCTGTGCACGGG